ACAGACAATTCTGCTTCTATGCCAAAAAAAAAAAAAAAAAAAGAGGTCAATGTCACATTCAAACAGGTTTGCTGGGTGTAGTAAGATACAAGCAGACATCACAGCAGGCATGAACACAGGGATTGGAGAGAGGCTACAGACACACCAACACCATTTCACCCACTGGGTCACACAGACTGGTGACACAGAAAACAACTGAGCTGCAACATGAGACCCTAGAGCATCACACTCCTTGGATATCCCAAATATTCCCATGTATACAAAATGATATGAACTGTCAATGACAATTAATCATGTTCATTTAATGTTCATATTGAACCATTTCTATAAGCTTAGGTAGTGTTTATCCTGGGGGTAGTGAAAACAAAACAAAACAACAGGTCTCAGCTGCCTCAGGCTCAAGAAAAAATGCATTTACACTTACCATGGCCTTAAAGCTCTTGGGTCCAAATAGCTGAAATTAATTCTTTTCCTCTCCTTTTCCCCCTCACCCTCATTTTCCCCCCCAAAGAGTCAATGCACAGAAACCTGCTCAGCTTTTGTGCCATACATACAGTTCTAGCTGTTCCCCCACAAACGATAGAAATAATCTCTATAGTTTCCTTCCTAACCAGAGCTAATTAAAACTGAGCTGTTAACCATCTTTTTCAGGTTATGAATAATTAATAGAGCATTTTTATAATACTTATTAAGTACAACAGTTGGATATTAGCATTTTCTTACCTTAAATAGCCCCAAAAGAAAAAAATCTCTGCATGACTAAGAGTTCCCTTCAACTTTTATCAGGAAGATTGGAATTGAGGATTTATGGGTCAATATGGAACATTATTTCTCCATCTACTCTAAGAGCCTTTTCTCAGGCTGGGGGGATTTGAAAGTTGGCAGCCTGGAGGTTTCACACACAGCCAACCACTGTGATACCCCACACAAGAAGTGGCAAATGGAGCATCCTATGACCTGCTCAAACATGAGATGCCCAGAGAGATTCTGAGCAAGAACTAAACCCCAACACTTTGTTTTCAGGCCTGAAGAGGAAGGGTGGATCCTTCAGTTATTTCATCTATGTCACCACATAGAGGAGAATTCACAGAAACAATTTTGCCTTTTGCCACTGATGTGAGAACAAAGTTTCTAGAATTTAAACCACAGTTGATGTGTTAATTTTCAAAATAAATTGTTCTCTCCCTGCCATGGAAGTGTGAATTATTAGAGCATGCAGCAATGTATCACACCAATGTATTAGTGCTGCTTTTCTTTAAGACCTGACACTTAGAGAACTCCAAAACTGACAAAGGGAAGAAATGTGTTGAGTTATAATTTCCTTGAAAGAATGTGTTGAGCTGTAATTTCCCTGTCTCTCATCAAAATTATGTCACTATTAGTACTCACATACTTAGCTTCTTTTTCCAAGATTAAGTCATTTGGTAAAGCACACACATAATCCTGTCTTATGACAGGAAACAGCCAGGCATTATTAGCAGGTAATCTTGGTTAGCTCTTGGATGTTTTCTTTCACTTTCACAAAATCAGATCCCAAACTGCCAGGTTGGCTCCTTAAAAACAGAGCTGCAGTGCTAATTAATGTTTGAAATGAGATCAAGGAAGAAAATACAAGAATTCCTTTTCCAGAGTTAATATTGGGTTATTTTGTAGAGGAATTTCCAAAGTAAACCCAAAATGACGAATATCAAAATACAAAATTATAAGTACTCAAGAAGACTAACCAATTCTTCTGTGAACAATGTTGCTAAGATTTGACTTTCAACTGGTTCCCAATAAGAATCAGCTGCCAACTAAAGGGGAAAAAAAATGTGGGTTTCACTTTCCAACTGAGCTGGGAGCTCTGGGCTCCCTCTCAGATGGAAGTTGAAGCTGTTGGATGCTGTACAAAGAGTGGGTTTTGACATTAAATTTTGTAGGTAATTTCTGATGCAAAAACCAGGATAGAAGTGGTATTAGAACAACAACTCTACAGCAACAGGTTTGAAGAAACATTCTTCTAGTGCTGCTTATGTGCCTCATGTCAACACCACATGTGACACTGCTGCATGAACAGGTGGAAAAGGAACTGAACCTCTTCCTGGGACAGCAATTCCCACATGTCTGTAAAGATTGTGGATGTAGATGACCTTAAAAAATGCTAACAAAGAGTTTCCAAGCAGAGCAGAGATATAACAGTGATAACTGCTGCACTGGAACACAGAAAATAGCAACTTCATTATTCTTCCCACAGAAAGTTTTGTTGTTTGCTGTGGTTTAAGAATCAGGATTTGTTCTTTAAAGCAAACTCTGGGGACTTTATAAAAGAGGAAAATCCCTCCAACTGCAAACTAAAGTTAAAATAGGTTGAAAGTGATTTGATTGAAAATGTCCAATCTTTGTTTAAGGTTAAAAATGTTCCTAATAATATAAGACAACAAAATGACTCAGTGAAGTGTCTCCTATATGATTCACACTACTAGCCTGGAATTATTACCCATAGACTCTGAATTACCAGATTTCAGGAGATCAGCAGCAGATAGTTCATCCTCTTGTGTTTAACCTCCAACCTGCCCTGAAATGCAGAGTCAATACAACACCACACTGTGCTCCTGGGAACAAGGTGACTTTCTCTTGGTTCTTTTACAAGGGGCACGTCTACCACTCAAGTTTCCATTGATTACAGCAATATTTTCAGGGAATTACTCTTTTTTTTTTAATATAAGTCCAAAGTCTTATAAGGAGGGAGCATAAAAAAGGAGCAGAACATGACTGTTGGAGGTGACAACAATGTGCTGTACAGAGAGGAAATTCCCTTTGGTGACCCAAGAGTCCACACCACAGGACAACTGATCTCACCAGAACAGGCTGAGATGTGTATTTCCATATTAAATATATGACTGGCAATTCTGGGCAAGTACCATTCCTAAAAGTCTTTTAAAAATCCTATGAACAGCAGGTGAGAGTTGAAAAATACCCCCAGAAAACCCTGTACAGGGTTATTTGTTAACTATAAACACACACGTTCTCTTCTGTCTCCAAACTGACATATTTTCTCCTTCAAGGGTTGAAACAAATTCATAAGTCCTTCAACCTGCACGATGTCATTGGATAGATAGAGAGTTTAACAGCCCTGATGCAAAAATAAAGGTGGTGGTGGGAGGGACATAGACTTTTTTAATCTATTTTCATTTTTAGGAATTACTGTGCTATAACATTGATGATCAGTAGCTCAGAGCATTGTACAAATCATGAGGAGATTCTCTGTGTCTCTCAACCCAATCAGTCAGCCATGGGCTAGTTCTACGAGTTCATCCACTACAGACAAAAAAGTAGTGATAAATACAAGTCTCACTGTGATAAGAATTACTATGAGCTACTAGTTGTGTAAATTCAGTGAACTTTATGTGGGTTTGTAGCTATCAAGCTTCATAAAAACTCTGTGCTGTACCCTAAACTCATTGCATTTCCTTTAGAAAACTGCATCCTCTCTCAGAAGTCAAGAAAGCCAAGCCAAGTACAAATGGTGACACATTTAACAGCGACCACAACCCCAACAAGAGCACAAAAAAAAAAAAAAAACACCTCCCTGTTTGTAGGCTACACCTGGAACGATTTGTAGTCCTGTTTGACATAGGCTGCGACTAGAAAGATGCTTATCACGACTGGAAATGGTATCTTATAAAAAGTAGTACAATCACACCTATCTGAGGCTAACATAGAATGTTCCACTTCAACTCACAGAATTAGACATGGAGACATCAAGTATTTATAGAAATATCTACAAACTGCAACTGCCTTTTATTTTACTCTTTGAAAGTACCAGTGAACCGACCTTGAAGTAGGGGTTTCATGACAACAGGCCACCTCATGCTAGTTCAGCCTTGGTGTTGCTACTCCTTGGGTAAAATTGGTCTTAAATTTCTTCCAGAGTCTGAAGAGAGAGCTCTTGCTAAATTTTTTGCTGTGCCTTCAAGTTCTACATTATTAGACTTGACTGTTTCACCTGTATTAATTATCGATGTGAAATATCTTTAACAAAGGGAAAAACACTGTCATAACATCCTTTAAATGCAGACAGAAATAGAAAATTAGGAATTTCACACTCTCCAGCTGCCCTAGACAAATGAAAGCATTGCTCTAACAAGCAGTGCTGAAGCCCTTATCTTAGAATTGAGCAGAGGTGAAAGGAGATTGACATGGAAAATGTGTAGCATGAATAGGCTGAATGTTAGCCATGTAAAAATGTTAAATAAAGCTAAAATCCTTCCGTTTTTCCTGATTATTCTGCAAAACCTGAAATTAATGCAAGGTACTCATGAAGGGTCATAGACCCACAATGCTATTTTACCTTCATCTGAAATGTAAAAGGACAATACCCAATTAAAACAGCTCTGGCATTGAACTCCTGGTCTTCATGGTGAGTTTCAGCACTTCCAGGATTAAACAGAACATGACATAGAAGGACCAAAACTAAAGGATGAAATCCTTATGGAAGGAACCAATCTAAAGATGAAACTTGCCTTTGTGAGATGCTATGCTTGACATTTTTTAACTGGATGGACAAGTTAAATTTGCCTTCGAAGCATTCACAAAGAGAAACAACCAACCAAACCTCTGCCTTTGCATCCATCCACTCACATGGTGCCTCTGATTACACTCTTTGGGAAAGCAATCACATCCTAAAAGATACTTGAGGGCAAGAACATAAATTCACAGAATTAGGGCAAAGTCCCCCAGGTCCCACAAGGCCATTTTCATAGCAGACACTGAAAGAAATTAGGGAAGTGGTATCCAAAGACCGTTTAGCTTAAAGTTCTGAAGAACTGGGTCTGCTTCAAAGCTCAAAAGAGAAGAAACCAGCAAATTTAGTCATGAAACTCCTACTGTGGCAAAGAGTCCTTGGTTTGTGGATCCTTGTCCAGTTGACATTGCAGGCAACAGAACCGAAGGTGTTGGTATCCCTGACGACTTCCATAGGAAAGGGGAGGCCAGCGCAGGTTTGGCCGTTTGTCCTGCGCTCAAGGTCCTCCACTGTATGAATAATCTGCCTTGTTGTGCATCACGAGCTTGTTGTCTACAAAGTAGAAACTGTCCGACTGTGTCTCATAGGGATGAAGGATCATCTCTCGAACTGTGGGGGTGGAAAAGGGAAAACAAGCAAAATTAATGGAGCCACACAGCAGCTCTGCTGAGCCAACGCTCGGCGCTGGGTTCCAGCAATGTTTCATAGCTTAGACAGCAGCAAACTCTCAGGTGAAAAACCAAAACCTAAATGGGAACCTGCCCAAACCATTCACTGGGAGTATCTTTAAACAACTCATAATCATGGAATCACAGAACCAGGGAATCATTCACGTTGGAAAAGCCCTCTAAGATCATCAAGTCCAACCATTAACCCAACACTGCCACATTCACTACTAAACCATGTCCCCAAATGCCATATCCAGATGTTTTTTGAACACTTCCAGGGATGAAAAATATTCATAATCCAAATATATTAAGGCACCATACAAAGGGTAAATGGTCCACCTAACCTCAAAACAAGATCACATTAGAGTTTGGCTTGGGTTTTTTGTTTTGTTTTTAAAAATGGGATCAAACAGCAAACTAGATTTGGTCTGGTCTGACAACAAGTAGGCAGCAGTGCCTCGCTGTGTTTTCCCCAGCCTGTAACATCAGTGCTGACATACACAATTAAGGGTTGTAAAGAACAAGATCACACAGATTTAGTGCTCATGCTATTGTGTCTTGGGCAAGAGGAGAGGAAATAAAAGTTATGTTCACACTAAAACCTCTCAATATAGCACATCAAACATTAAGACAGAACATAACATTTAAGTCATCCACTTCTTGGATGTCTTTTTCATCCTGTTTTTTGGTTGTTTTATAACGCAATTATCATTTTTCTCCCTGGTACTGAAGCTTCCCTTTTATGAATTCAAAAAAAACCAAGCAACTGTCTGGTGGGTGATGAGATATGTGCTACTAGGAAACAAAATCAGTGTTAGCACAGATAGAAAGTATGAATTATCCTACCCAACCCACTCTCTACCGGCAGCTCTAAGAAAGGGCTCCCCCAAATAACCTCAGATGAATATCATGGTGTGGTAACCCAGAAATTAAAGTGAAGCTTACTGAGATCCTCCGAGAGCTGGGGGAATTCATAGATGTGCTCACAGGTATTTTTACTGCTGGGGATGCAGAAGCCAAATTCAAAATCAAAACTCTTCAGGAGCTGATCGCGGAAGTAGTGTCGCTCGATCATACGGAAATTATTGATGGGCTTGTCCCCTACTGTGAATTCCACCCTGGAAAAGAAAGGTAAGATTGATGTGAGCTTTCTTGCTTAAATGAGATTTGCATCATTCACGAAAGGTAGAACAGAGCTCTGATCAAAAAAAGGCAAAAATATAAAGCAACGGCACTAACCAAATTATCATGTCCTCTTTTCCTTAAAGCACTCTCTACAGGGACACAACAATATTAGATAGGTACACAGAGGTTGTACTGCATTTTAATTAATTTTAGTCAAAAAAGAGACAAGCAAAACAATTGTTTAGGTGTCACATTTTGGAGTGGTTTACCAAAGGCTGCAGCAGTGCTATCAGCCACAGCAAAGGTCATTCTGGCACATAAAGCATCAAACCTGATTTCATCATTTCACATCTATCTGTGGATTAATGTTTTCTGGAGAGTGAAATGTGGAAGCTGCAGACACATCTGCTGAAGGTGACAGAGCCTCTGACGAACTATAATGCACAGAAAAGAGCTGGAATATAGAATCATGGAGTGGTTTGGGTGGGAAAGGACCTTGAAGATCATCTCATTCCACTCCCTGCCATGGGCAGAGACACCTTCCACTACATCAGGTTGTCCAAACTCCATCCAACTTGGTATTGAACATTTACAGGGATGGGGCATCCACAGCTGCTCTGGGCAACCTGTGCCAGTGCCTCATCACCCTCACAGGGAAGAGTTTCTCCCCAATATCCAAGCTAACCCTGCCCTCTGGCAGTGTGAAGCCATTGCCCCTTCTCCTGTTACTCCAGACCCTTTTCCAAATTCCGTCTCCAACTCTCTTGTATCTTTAGGTATTGGAAGGTCCACTAAGGTATCCCTGGAGCCTCCTCTTCTCTGGGTAGTCTTCCCACCTTATTTTACCCCTTTTAGCATCAATCTCTCCACCACCAGGTCTATCCTGAGGTAACTAAACAACCTAAAGGGATGGAGAAAGCAAAGCATCCAGCAAAGAGTCTTGGAGACCCTCCTAACAACAAAAGATCCCTATTAAATCAGCTTCCTGACAGGATCAAGATGGAAGAGCCATTTTTTGTAAGACTTCAGTTGCTTCCTGTACTAGGACAAGTAGCAGAGGGGCAGCTACTTACGTGGCTCCCACTTGTCGCAGTCTGAGAAAGGCTGGGGTGAACTGATAGCGAACAAAGCGTCCGGCGTTGGGGTCAACGTCCTTCCTGTCATTGTGCTCACGCTCTGCAAAAGCACAAAGTGAACTCCATCAGAGTGGTCTGAGAAACAGAACCTCAGTGAAAATACTGGTGATCAAGTTGTTGAGTAACCTAAGCCAGGAAACCGCTCTGAGGAAGCCTGATGGTGAGCTCACCCTCCTCCTGTCCTCTCCAAGGCATCCACTCCTGGTCACTTGGAGATGGGATATTGCAAGATGGACCTTTGGTTTGAGTCATCACTTCTCTTCTGCAGTGATTTACTGCTTCTGCCTCTGATCAGGACTGCAGAGTGACCCTGAACAAGCCACTTGCCCTTAGTGTGCATCATTCACTAGCTCTAAGCTACAGAAAATTTCCTCTCAACTACAGGGAGATGGGGAAGGTGCTTGATCGCGTAAAGAACTGTTACCTTGGGGTTTTATTACCACTGACAACAGGTAACACTCGGAGGGTTACAAGTAACACCTAAAAATTAAGAAGGAAAAGTGAATTTTAGTTTTGTCTAATTTGCCTAATTGACAACGTTTCTCCCTTTTGGAAACACCATTTTCCTGACTCCTGGATGAAATATGTTAGATGAACAGCTAAACTATGTACAGGGGGGCACAAGCTGATAAACAGCCAAGAAACAACCACACGGTGATCTCCTGCTCCTCCTCCTCCGCTTCTGTTTACAACATCCATCTGTCCTTTCCCATCACAGATGGCAACCATAAGAGCACAGCAGCAGTGAGCTCTGCTCACAGTGTTGGTACAAAGAAACACCTGAAAAACATTTCTGTCTCAAGCTGGGACTCCAGCCCTCCTGCAGCTGAGAGCATCTCCTGTTTGGGGGGAAATGTCTGGAGTAAAAGGAGTGGGAAAAGGCAAAGGGAAGCAGACACCAGCATCTGTTTGTGCATTTTGTGTGTGCACTCACCTGAGGCTGCTGGCTTGGTGATTTCAAACAAGACTGTGCCAGATTCCATGTCCCGGATTTTGAACCTGGTGAAGTCTATCTTGTAAACATTTTCCTCTGGAGTGCACAAATAATCTGCAGAGGAAAGCAAATTTAAATGAAGGCTACCCTGAAATACCAGGAATTTCTGGCTGTTCTCTGGAGGCCAAATGAGCAGTGAGAGCAGCCCAAAGGCATCCCCATGACTGCCTGTTTTAATCTAAAACTCATGTCACTGAAGACATTCTTGGTTCTGAATGCTCACACTGTCCTGCTGGGACAGGGAAAAGGTTTCTTTCCCCCAGTACTTAGAGGTCATCACCTTTTCCCAACCCTGTGCCAGGAACTTCTGCACCCATTTCCTCTGGGGGTATTGAGACTAGTCAGCACCTCCATCAAATCCCAGCCTTTCCAGTGTAAGAGGCTTTGCCTGTTTTAAAAACTGCCCTGTGGCAGAATGCAAGTGCTAAGCAGCTTTGGGAGCACTAAGCTGACTGCACTTAACTGGAACAGGAGTGTCCTCCCTGGTGCCACCTCCCTGCTCCAACCTTCTGCAGACAAAGAGTGGCCCCTGCTCTCCACCAGTGCTTGTCCCATGTGAGGACTTGTTTTGCACAGCACTAAAAATGGTGCTGAAGCCTTTCCCTGTATCAGGAAATCAGGGAGCAGAGCCCTTCCCCACTTCCAGCAGAGTCAGTTTCTTTGGGAGAAAGTCATTACGGAATCATAGAGTTGTTGAGGTTTGAAAAGTCCTCTAAGATCATGGAGTCCAAGCATTAACCCAGCACTGCCATGTTCACCACTAAACCATGCCCCCAAGTGCCACATCCACACACCTTTTGAACAGGGATGGGGATTCCAACACTAAAAACCCACTGTTTTGGGTTTCAGCCTTGCTGTGCCCTGAGCCAGGTCCTGGTTTGGGGAATCAGCCTCCTCTTTGGGGAAGGAGCAGTGGTGCCTCATTTCCACTGCACATACAGCACAAATTGAAAGCAGCTCCAATAACTTTCTTTATGCTGGTGAATCTAAATAAAGGCTGTATGCAGACAAGCCAGGTCAGCTTTTGAACATGTGCATGTTGTAGGAGGCTTGTTTTGGAGGTTCCACAGTGAAAATAATACTTTAACGTTCTAATTCTAAGCACTTTCTCAGCTACTA